AATAGCGGTTTCTAATGGCTACGAAACTGTAGCTCAGGATAGGTGTAGAGGAAATCGTAGGCCTTCAAACGACAACTCTAGCGATAGAAGGGTCCCGTTTATTCTACCTTTAATCTCAAACGATGTAAGTACAGCTATAGAACGCTGCTTAAGAAGGGCGGGCTTAGAGAATTCGGTGAGCGTAGTTGAAATACCACCGAGTAATCTTAAGCGCCAGCTAGTTCGTAACCGCCTATATGACCGTCTATGTGCAACTCAAAATTGCATAATTTGCCCCAGTGGTAGAGACGGTGGTTGCATGAGCTCGGGTATAGTTTATCTGATCTCCTGTAAGACGTGTGGTGACGAATACATTGGCGAAACGGGTAGACCCCTCTGTGTCCGCATAAAAGAACACCTAGCCGGTAAAATAGACCAAATACCCCGCTAGGCAAGCATAGGACCCAGAGACATAACGGGGACGACTTCGAAGTATGTGTCACGATCCTCGCACGTGAATCAAGAACACAGGCGCGAAAAACTCTCGAGGCACTCTGGATTAATTCCAGAAATCCGAAAATGAACCGCAGGGAAGAATGCCTCATTATCACGCGTGATATAGGGCAGTATATAAAACTGCTTTTCTGATGTGAGGGGCACATTATACTTCCACGTGATTTCTGTGCGGTTGCTCTCTACGTGACATACTTAGTGGAAACCTCATAGAAAGCGGTGAGTGTACAAAGCTGTGTTCAAAGTGATTGAAATCTTGGTTTGGGGTTTCTTTGTTTGGTTATGGAGGTGTCTGGCCGAGTGAGTTGCTATCAACTTGACCTTTCCAGGCTCTGAAGAAGGCGAAATTCGCCGAAACGTCAGCTTAATCGTGAACAAAGAACAATAACACCTCGCGTTTGCTCAAAAAAAAAATACGAACAAAATCACTTGATCAATGCCGAGGTTAATAGAAAGTCGGTCGTGGCAGAAAAGCGCTTACTTCAATACAGGGAACCAATAATTTAATAAATATACATATGAAAGGGAGCGGGTATGCAGTGGTCGTGATCTCGTTCACTAAACGGACTCACTCAGAGTCAACCAACTCTCCCAACCGTCTTAGCTGAAGAACTAACACTAGACTGATCTGGAACAAACGGACTAGCTCCATTCCACAAGGGAACGCTCCAGCATGGTTATCTCAAAATTCTACGGAGCATCAATTGGATCAATATGCAGCGAAATTCGTGGCGAAGACAGAAAGATCTCAAGCAGCATTCGGAGCGACATACAAAAAGATTGGAAGACTATCGTGGATTATAGATTCGAGGAAACGAACTGACTTAAAAAAGTGCTGGGGTTTGCACAGTGTGATAAATTTGACACTGGGTGACGCAACAAAGTGGTAAAAATGCACACGAAACTATGTTTTGAAAGGAAATTCAATTTATTACTGTACTGGATTGATCATATGAACTAACCTTTAGAGTAAGTAGAGCTAGCAAGAAAATTTTTTGAAAATTCTTCCAAGAACCTCCTTAACGATTACCAACAAAACTCACTTCATTTTTCATAACATAGTAGGAGCTGACTCCATTTGATGTGGACATCGAAGCCACGTTGGCAACCTTCGACCCAATGGAAAGCAGAGGGGAGAGTTTGATCAATTTTGATAGCACCTTTAACAACAAATTGACACCACGACACTTTAACTTTATACTAAGCCTGAGAAAAAAAAACACTAATACTAAAAAATACTAGAAAAACAAAAATTAAAAAATCACAAAAAATTATAGAAAACCGAAGATAGTTAAAAATACAAAGTTTTCGGCGTTGATCAGCCCCTAACGGATGCGCCTTGTATTCGACTTCATCAAGCACCGTTACAGGTGATTTGAACGCATATTTCGCCTATACAGTGGCTTACCGATGTATCAAACTAGTGCTAGTATCCTCCTGTCTGGTAGTAGTTTGCCAAACTCGGAGGAATCGAAGGCTTAGTAAGCCTGCGGCGCGGGATCGAACACATGTGAGCAGGGGACTTTAACCACTGTGCCATACTCGCCACACCGGTAGTGTGTGTTTCTTTTTTATAAAATATACTTTGCTTCGGAGTCCGAATGGTCAATCTGTTCGGCGCTAGCTTCAGCCATTCGTATGGGAGAAACGCTTTCAGGTTACAATATAAAGTTATTAAAAAAATTGTATTTGGAATATTAACGCCTATGGATATGAATTAACTAGTGTATAAGGTTAGGTGACTAGTGACACTTTGCACATGCATGGTTTCGCCCAGAAGAGCGAACCAAACCATCTACCGCACCGATATTGGAAAACTAGTACCAGAATTCTTAGGAAAAAGCTCCCTCCGATCTATCAAGGCCTGCGAATGCCTGTGGTGCAAAGACTGGATTGCAAGTCTATCCTAGGATTCCAGGGAGAATCTATCGACCAGCGTTCAAGCGCAGACCACTTCAATAATCTTTCTTTCATGAGTACAAGTAAACTATGCGTTCTAACTTTCATATTCGATGAATTGGTTGCACATTCATTCGAAAAAGACTCTGCAAAAAAGCCTTTCGTTTAAACCGTTTAGTCTGATCAATTATTGAATAGACTACAATGACCAATTTCGTCAGTGTATTTGCAACGTGTACAAAAATCAAGATTGGGTAGCGCCTATCTATCCGGCTGCTGGCATTTGCTGGCCACCCATACTAAATAGTGCCACAAGCATAGAAACTAAAATAATTCTCTAAAGAACTCTTTGATACCTAATCATATAGAGAATTAGCAGGCCTTAGAAGGTCATCTATGTAAACGTTCTAGTGGTAAAATTTTCTACCATTTGTTCCTCACTGATGAGTATTCATTTGCTTACGGTAGACAATATAACAGATCTATCATGATACTGAGATATTTGCAAAACACCGGACCGCAGGTGACTGCGGTGGGGAACGAACGCACTATTGTCCTATCCGGAGAGTAACGCGTTCACCATCACACCATGCGGGTTCTTCGTTTCGCCTGTCTCTCAGCTAGTTCTATCGATCTTTTGATATCAGCAACCACCCGTCAGCGGGATTGAACTGGAGAGCTCAAATCTGCAACGAACCCAGTTAAGCTGAGGCTGCAGTTATAATCATGATTATCGTTGCCGATTTGGGCTCCCCAGATCAATCCTGCTGACGGGTGATTGCCGATGGCAAAACATCGATAAAACTAGCTCAGAGACAAGCGAAACGAAGGACCCGCATGGTGTGGTGGTGAACGCGTTACCCCCCGGAAAGGACAAAAGTGCGTTCGTTACCCACCGCAGACACCTGCGGTCCAGAGTTTTGCAAATATTTCAGCAACATCAAAGTTATATTTCGCAACATACCCTGCCGTTAAAAAGAATAGGCAGTAAATAGAAGGTTAAAAATACAATAAATCGCCGAGAGGAAAACAGGAACGGATAACTCACGTTGGAATTCGGTTCCAGAACGCGCAATGAGACGTGTTTCTGACGTCCTTCACGGTCGGAGAGGATCAACGACAATGCCCAAGGCATCCGCGAACGTGGACGAGATATCATGTGCAGCCTTCCCTTGACGATTGTGAAATGGTTAGAAACGTCTAAATATATCTTACATAAAAAGGAGTTGAAAAAACCCATATTAAAAATGCTGAGTTATTTAGATATAAATACGATGCGTGTGGATCGAGATAATGAAATGTTGGCAACAGAGCAAAGATAGGAAAGCAACAATGTATATCCAAGAGTAGGAAAAAATGCAAGAAAAAACATATTTATACTGCATACAGAAGCACTGAAATAAGTCATAATTGTTTTCATAAACTTCGCCACCAATTAGACCTCAACAGTTACTAAAGTGATCAGTCGTGTCACAAACTGAGCTAAACCGAATACTCCCACTTCATCTAGACTTCCACAACATATTACTTACTTGCATACTTGGATCTCAGCAAAACCATTTTTCAGAGTTTTGCTGGTTTACAAATTATGGTTCGCTGGAGGATCCGAGGTCAGTCTAGCCAAGGTCTACCCTAGGTCGTCACCACCACAGGCACTCGCCACCCTTGTGGATCTGAGGGAGATTTGCTACTATGCGAACAGTTTGATACAAGGACGGTGGCGGATCCTGGTGTTAGTTTACTCTTAGCTGAGGTTCCTGACGGAAGCGCATAAATGGAATGGATGGATGAATCACAACATATTGAAATCTCAAATCTTTGTGTTATTTTAATCAGACTTTCTAACTTTAACTTTTTTTTAAGCAAAAGGTTGCTCTATACAATAAACGTGCGCAATAATCTGTAAGCAATGTAGTTCGTCCTAGGAAAAAAAAGTGCTATAGGTAGAACTAAAAAAGAATATAGGTTTATATGAACAAAAACTACAACAACTGCGTGTTCCCCTAGAGTTGCTTAACAATCAGCCTGTCATTTTACTTTCTATTCACTACAGAAAGTTTGTTGGTCCAAGCTTTCTCACAAATTATACGATTCAATAATCAAGGGACAGATAAGTTGGTTTTTCATCAGCAATCCTAGAATTGATCGATATGTGGAAGGAGGTCTGAACTAAACCTACCATTGCTTTGAATTTGCCACTTTGCAACACCAGTGGCGTTCAATTGTTGTAGCTGGCAGCCAGTCAGACAATCTTTCGGCACATGAATGTTCCTGAAGTTTCCCTTTCACTTATACTCAGCTGTTTTTCATTTACATATCGTTGCGTGGAAATACACGTAAAGGAAATAGAAAAAAAAGTAAACAAAAGAACTGCCTACTAATCTGCTAACAAAATAAGATTAACTGAAAAGTACAAATTCTTTTTTCAGAGAGTTTTCTTCTCGCTCCTTTGTTTTCCAGAAACCCTAGCTTAGTAACGATCCTAGGATTTGCTGTTGAAGTAGAAAATCTCAAAGGTCAATTCCAAAGAGCGGTACAATAACACAGTACATTGAGAGAAATTTCTACCAAGGAACTAGACATTTAATAAAACACCTCTCAAATGGTTCAATAAGCTTCACAGCAGATGTTCCATGACCGATTTTCACTCGTACATGGCACACAGTCGATTTTGGAGGTAATCCCTGATCGGAAGCAATAATCGAAAGGCGGACATCGCTTGGATCGGATTCTCTGAGAGAGCGTCGTAGCTGCACATCACCTAGAAATAATTCGCAATTAATGTACTGAAAAACCGACTCACATCTAACCTCGGGACGAATAACAAGAGAATTCGCAATTAATTTCAAAATATGCGATCCAATGAAATGAGTATGATCGAGATAATCGTAGGCCTAGTAGAGACCTATAAACGTCGTTCTCCTCAGTCAATTCGTAGCAGACTCGCTTACGAAAGATAAAATACTCGCCGAACCTTTCTGCATGACACAACCCATCACTACAGGTGTCACGAGCTTTACTGTTTGTTTCTCAGAACTTGCTCACTTATTTTATACAACAATAAAAAGTCTATTTTGTAACAGAAAAATCACAAGCACTCATAATATCGGATCAGACGGGTTTACAAAAAGGCTTGCATAAATGTGACTGTACGAGTATAGAAGCCATACGCCATTTCGACATAGCAGGAACGGAGAACTTATTCTGTTATTCCAACTTCGCTTCAGGACAAGAACATAGCTCTATTTCAAGGTGAAGATACAAAAACTTGTAGTAGAAATTCACTGAAAGAATGTACCTACTGTAGTTGAACTAGAACTGTAATTCCTACGCAGTTCTCCAATCAGGATATACTTCCCTCACGATAATTTTCATGGGCAGTCTCAAACGCCTCGAAAATAGTACAGAATCTCAACAGGAGGATGAAATGGTTGATCTGCAACCCAGAATAAGAACTATATTTAAAAAGTGCTGCACGATACGTGGGGCGAGGGTAGCACAGTGGTATTGGTGTCGATTATTACGGGCACAGTATTGGTTCGGCTCCGCTCCGGGTTCATCAAGGGTGTCATCCCTCCGAGGTCGTGAAGCTGGTACCAAACTTGACCGGAAAAAGTTAGCTCTTTCCAACCCAGGTATGAACGCTCTAACCAGGATACATAACCAGACTCTAGAGAGAATCGACTCGACAAGCATTCAACGACAATCGTGATGAAAGGAAAATCCTCTAGCAGAAACCGAAGCCAGATATTTGTAAAAAGTTGGAAAACCTTGGTGGTTAAGTGCTGTGATCCACACAGTAGCTGTGAAAGACGTGTTGTGTAAAACAAGGTAAATTATAAGTGAGGAAGTAGAAAAAGAAAGGCGAAAGCAAAATAAATATTTAGAAATTAATTGTTATAAAAAGCAAGAACAACAACAATAAGAGCAATGAATCAATACGCCGATGTCACATGTGTCTTGTAAAAAACGTTGCATGACGATACATAACAGGAGTAACAAAGAGAAAAAACCTAGTGAGGAGGAACGGCAGAACAAAAGGAACAATCCGTTAGTAAGAAACAAGTTAAAAAATCAACCAACCATTGCTTTTGACGATGAATAACGGGTGAGATTGCTGACTCCGATAGATCACTGTGCCGTTGGCTCCGTTGTCTGGATCGGTGACGACCACCGTTCCAACGGTAGTCAAGAGGGTGGAATCTATTGGGACCACCATCGATGTCGTCGACGAACACGACGGGGGATTATCGTTTACATCGGTGATGAGCACTCGCACATGAACCGACGACGAGAACGGTGGCTAGAATTGGTTTGACGCTATAAAAAGAAATGAACTTAGATTCAGAATATGAAACCAATCCACTACCTTGCCTTTATCCTGAGCGGTGATGGTTAGGCCGTAGGTGCTCCGCACTTCTCGATCAATGTTTCCGTTTGTGTATATCAGCCCACTTTTTTCGTCAATGCCGAATACCTGAAAATGTTATCTTCCATATTAGAAATAATTAGGGCTTCGTTTAGTGTTTTTTACTCAGTCAACTATTTTTCTTTCAATCGTTTTCACGCCATCCAACCGGTTACACAACGCTCTTAATAATTTGCAACAACAGTAGTAGTAGTAATAATATTAATAATAGCAGTGATAATAATAGTAACCATATTAATAATAATAACAATAACAATAATAATGACGATACAGGGATCTCCCCAGATGGAGATCCCTAGTGAGTTGGTCGGAAGGATACGAGTCGCGCCTCTAAGTCTATGGATGGTGCGTTTAACACGGACCAAAGGCGACCTTCCCCGAGTGCCAGTTCGAGAGAGAGAATGAACTCTCTCTCTCTCTCTGCTATGCTAGATTAACACATACTTTAGAGTATGGAAAAAGCGACTGTATTTATTGAATCTATAGAAGCTAATAACATCATGTGAATCGTCGTAGTGGAGTTTTCGACCAGATAATCAAGGTGATCTGTTAGCTTCTGCCAAATTAAAGATGATGGAGATACAAGACATGAAGGGAATTCGGGCAAAAGACCGCATCCAGAAAGAAATTTGGAAGCCTGACCGCGGTTAGTACTCCAGGGCCTTCGAAAGCACGTGCATCTGTCACCTATGTCAAGCAGAAAGGATATTTCGAGAACTTTTTATAATTTAATATTTTTTGGTTCTGTCTCTCAAAGTCTGACAATCTTTATCATCGATGAGAAATGGGACAACGTGCACTAGTAAAAGCAAACCTAAACATATGAAGAATCTGTCACTAATCTACTCCCAAACATAGCCTGTTTAAACGTTACCTACAAATGTGTTGGTAGTCAATATAAATCACGCTGAGACAAAACGAGAGGAAATGCTTCCAAGACACTGGAAACTATAGTTTCTACGAGCCCGATGTAGGCTAAACCCTTTTTACCTAAACCTTAATGGAACTGACAAAACGTTAGAAGAGAAATGGTCAGACGAACAAAGAGTTCCGAAAAAGGTCCAAGGTAATGGATAATATCCAAACGATATTAAGCTCAAGGAAGTATCACATGAGTTCAAGACCCTATTTTGCCTTACTTTCGCTAGCATAAAAATGAGGCTCAATTCATTAGACACAAGCCGTCGTGAAATCCTAGACAACAAAGGTTGCTCTGCTAAGCAAATGAGTAAAGCAAAGATCCTTCACGTATGCAATAACTTCACAACCAGAAGTTTGCCATGATACAGAGATTAGCATCGAGTTGAACGAGAGCAATTTCAAACGGAATGTCATAGCATTGAAAGCAGATGTCCAGGAGCTATACTATTTTTGTTGTACTGCTGAAATTGTTCATATAACATCAAGCTTTAGCAAGATCGAACAAATGACCACCGATCTTGATAACGCTTTGTTCAAAAACAAAGTCATACATATAGAACTTGATTCATGCTCAATGAAACAAACAACAAATGAGAATTTAAGAAAATTTCGTTTTGATATAATAAAATTGCGAGAAATCGAAAAATGTAATGATATTACTACCTTGTGTGGCGCAGTTGTCGCATGTTCTCGGCAACACACACATGGGATCGATCCCCGCGCCCGTGGCTCACTAAACCTTCTATCCCTCTGGGGTCGGCAAATTAATACCAAACTTATCTGGGAGGATAGCAGAACTGGCTCGACACATCGGCAGGCCACCGGGAATAATTGTAAAGCCCAGCTCTTTATTCAATCACCTCTAAACGATGCTTGATGAAGTGGAATGCATCCTCACACATTGATCAACGTCGAGATCGTTACCTTTCTATTTTTTTTTTTATACTACTTCCAAAATAATTTACTGGAAGGATTTATTTCCTTCTTTTTTCTCCCCTACTTAGAGTTTCCTTGCGGAAATGCATTTTAGAAGGAGAGTAATGCGAAAAAAGTAAAGCGAATATTTAAAAAGTAAAATTTTGAAAGAATAAGTGAGTATTTATAAAAGTCAAAATAAAGGAGAAGAAATATCCAAAAGTGTTTCTAATCTAAACAGCCATTCTAAAAGACGTACACTGGATCCGTTAGTGATTCTGTAGAGCACCTGGCCATTCTCTCTCGAATCTGCGTCGTGTGCCTTCACCTGCAGCACAGCCGTCATCGGAATAGAATTTTCGGCCACCTTAAAAAGTTACAGTTGTGCTACTCCAATTCAAAGTCATAACTCTGGAAAAGCTCTCTTCACTTTTTTGCAATGCGATTTGGATGACAATAATAGGAATATTAGCAAAGCCAAAAGCTAAATATAATATAGTGAAACGATCGATGTGAGAAAGCCTAACTAGTAGTGATTTCAGTACTGCTAACCTCGGCTTCGTAAGTACTATTTTCGAAGACTGGATGGTTGTCGTTGAAGTCGGAGACGTGGATGATCAGCGTCATGTTCGCGGAACGTGGTGGAATTCCCTGATCTTGAGCCTGAAACGGATTCCATTACTCATCGGATGGAACCCATTCCTTTCCGACTAATGATGAGTGTCGCCGACAAGACTGGTTCTCATAATGACTGAGTTTCTGCGAAAGACACCTTTCATGCTCTGATCCATGTAACCCTCCTGAGCCAAAAGTACAATAATCCACGTCGTCAAGTAAATTCATAAAATTGCGAACGTGACCGCTCACGTTTATACCTACATTTATTCCTGCCTGGCACAACCAAACCTAATGTTGTTTAGGAAGACACAAATGATCACGAACAATTGCGAAGAGTTTTAAATATTGTAATGAAAGCACTGTGGCTAGTAGTTGTTCATATTCAAATTTATCTCGAAAAATGCAGGACAGCACAAAAGTAGGCTGGAAAATTATTTTAAACAAGAAGAGTTTCGAAAAAATGAAGCTATTCAAATCTAATCACTTCCGCAGCCGTCACATTCTAAGGATAAACAGCATTCTCGGAAGGTAATTCTCACAGCAGAACTCTTCTGGTCTGGCCATTATTTAATATTTAGCATTTCCATTTCTTCCCTACGGCTATCTTAATTCAACAATCGGATCTATCGCTACAATTTTAATAAAATGTATAATTTTGATGGCTAGAACATAACTGACCTTAATTCGAATACGGTACGTCTTGATTTTCTCGAAGTCTAACGGTTCTGTGAGCTGCAGCTGTCCGGTCAATGGCAGCACCATCACAGGACAAGGAGGATGTGAGGAAATCAGCGAGTACAGAATGGCGCCATTCTGGAAGTTAGGCTTTTTTATCCAACTTTTAAAGTTGAGCACTACTGATTTTTTGCCGTTTCACTTACTTCATCACCGGCAAGTAATATTTTGTACTGATCAATAGGCAAAAAAAGATGAAAGAGGAATGCACTCGTAGACTAGAAAGCTGAAGGGATTTCGCAGTTTTAGAATTACCTTTTAAGTTAGAGAGCACTAAATTAAAGAACTGGTGAAATTCACAAGGGACCTAAACTGCAGGGAGGAAACTGAGTATCTAGTCAATTGTTCACATAAAAGGATAAAAGGGGTAAAGTTCTCAGTGCTGGTCAATTCCTGAAGGATGTGCCATGCATTCGACTTCATTAAGCATCGTTTGGAGGTGATTGAATGCATATTTGGCCTTCACAATGACTCAAGGTAGCCTACCGATGTATCGAGGTAGTGCTGCACTAATTTGCCAACCCCCGAGGCATGAAAGGCTTGGTGAGCTATGAGCGTGGGATCGATTCAACATGTGTGTTGCATGGCACCACCGATCACTGCGCCATACGCGCCCATTGTTCACGTATATTTTCAAAAATCTACAAATAATCAGTTCGATAAGATGAGCAAAAACAATTTATGGACAATTCCAAGGTTGACGAAAACCTCGAAAAGAAAAGCTCGTCGATGACATCCCACCTTCTTCTTGTCCTTATCGGTCGCGCGTACCACATAGAATGGCTCATGGAGCGACTGATTCTCGCTCACAGTAATCTCCAGCACATCGACTGGGAACTTTGGAGAATTGTCGTTGTGATCTTGAATTAGAATCACCACTTGTGTTTGATTTGTAGCGCCATTCAACAATTCGGCCTTAAAAATACCTATGACTAAAAGCAGTACTAAGTACTAAAAGCAACAGCAACACAGAGAAATGGAAAGAAACGAAACAGAAAGAAACGACAAAACCGAAGAATACAAACGGATTCAATCTGCTTAGAAAAAGTCCTAAACAGAAAAAACAACTAGTTTTGTAAGATAGTCGTTTTGATGATATGCACCATCTCCTGGAGTATTACCTTTCAAATGGAAGAAACTTCTAGCGAGATAATACAGATTGTGCTAGACACTGAACGTTGAACTGACCTGAACATTCAGAACGACACGGTCATGTTTATCAGCGTCCAGATATCTGGTCACCGTTATCCGCCCTGTGTCCGGGTGAATCATAAACTGATTGTCGACATCACCAGAATAGATGCTGAAAACGTATTAAACTTGCTTAGACCTTTGTTTTGCAGCGAATAAAAGGATAAAGAAAGATAAAGCTCCCGACGTTGATCAATCCCTGAGGGAAGCGCCATGCAATCGACTTTATTAAGCATCGTTTGGAGGTGATTGAATGCATATCTGACCTATGGAATGACTCGCGGTGGCTTACCGATGAACGAACCAATTTTGCTATCCTCCCAGATAAGTCTGGTATCAATTTGCCGATCCCGGAGGGATGGAAGGCTTGGAGGCCATAGGCGCGATGATCAATTCCACGTGCTTTGAAAGCGCCTCCGACCACTACGCCACAAACGCACTTAGCACCGAACAGAGCCCCCATTCTTCCAATTTGGCTTTTAAACAATTCAAAATGTCCTAGTTTTTGTTTTGTTGGAAGGAAATTTGTCAAATAAAGTGCTCGTTTAAAAGAAAGTGATCTTGTAGAGGGTGAAAATTTAGGGCGATAAATGATCTAAACTTCAACGTAAGTGTTTCCAACACAGTTGAAACTATTTCAATGAGGTATTCCAGTTGTTAAAGACAGAACAGTAGTGATAAAAAATCGACATGTCGTACCTATAACGTATGATTCCCGGCCCAGTTGCCAAAACCGATCCAATCGATATTCCAGGTAGAATGTCCTCCGGGGTTTTGATGAGGTAACTGGATTGTGTGAATACTGGAGCATTTGCATCAGAGTCGATAACCTGGATATGAACATGAGCCTGAAATAGATGGAATTCAAAGAGACATTCAGAAAGACATCCGCAGTTCTTTCTGGATTTGGTTTTTCACCAAGAGATATAGTTCAAAAATAAAAAAGACACGTCTAAAAGCCGACCCTTATCTGACCTCGGCCCAAATGATCGATACCTTCTTTATGTCACTGAACTGACACGGGTTAACATTAAATATTCATTCGACTGACCTTTCGACGTCCTGGTCTTCTTTAGAGCCGCATTGATACAGGTCAATGATCCACAGCTGGTTGTCCTCGCGATGTGGGTGTTCGATGTCGAACAAAGTTGAATCCAATGGAGTGGAGCACTAATCGAGTGAGGAATCTCGGTGGACGGTGCTCTTTTATATGGGATGGATTTCGCTCGATTCCCGCCAACCATATGATCTGCTGTTTGGCGGGCAATGTGTCCTGCATCAGTCGGTGGTATACTAGCTGACGCGGAAGAAGGTACTGACTCTTAGTGCAGATTTCAAATAAAAGTCAGTTTTTAGAGATACACTACTTAGTATACCACCCACTGCTACAGGACTCATTGCTCGCCAAACAACAGATCATATCCGCTGATAGGATTCGATCAATATCAGTCCTGTATGAAAGACCACCATCAAAGTGAGATTGTTCATTCGATCGGTGGTCTAATTGATTGGATTCGACTCGGCGCGACAACGAACAGCCACATCGCCAGAACGACCACCAGTGGATCATCGATTCGGATCAATCCTACTCTGAGGAAGAAGAAAACGTCGAGAAGTTAGCCGAATATATATTTCGTACCAACCTCGTGTCAGCTCAATAACACAAGAAAGTTTAAAAAAGGTTAGGTGTAACCTTTTGATAAATTTTGGTACTATCTGTGTTCCACCCCAAGAAAAGGGCGTTTTGACAAACGTATGGGCTTGATTACGATAGCAAACTCGGTTTTATCGCTGCTTTGATCATAAAACGCCTGAAAAAATTTTGAAAAACGACTTTCAGGTCCGGTCGTGACTGCTATGGCCAAACACACTTTTGTGTGTTCCACATGATTACATAATACTTGGATACCTGGATGGCCCGTTTTCAGTGAATGCATGGGCCCAGCATAATCTCCATTCTGCCAGAGTTTTGCCGGCTTAGCCATTGTGGTTTCCTGGGATCCCGAAGTCAGCCTGGCCAAAGTCTGGCCCAGGTCGTCACCACCACAGGTACTCGCTGCACTTGTGGGTTAAAAGAGGGAGATTTCCCACAATGCGACTAGTTTGATACCATAACGGTGGTGGATCCTGGTACTGGTTTACTCTTATCAGGGCTTCCTGATGGAAACGCCAGACTCCTACTTAGCTCGGGAGACCTTGCCGGGTGGACCACAGCTGTACATCGTAGTCCTACATCTAGGAACACCTCCCAGCCACGATGATGCAGTACATATGACTTAATAAGTAGATCAGTATAAAAAAGCGTGTTTAAAAATACCATACCGATTCTTCGCTGGTCGACCCACTACCGTCTTTAGCTTGTATCGTAATCTCGTGTTGTCCTCTTGATAACGGTTCTTTCAGGAACACTTCGCCGGAATTTTCGTCAATAGAGAATAAGAGCTTGTTGCCGGTCTTGAGAAAAAAGTGAACCTGGGAATTTATCACGTCAATATGGTCACATTGTAAAGGATGCTAATAAGAGGAAAATAAAAAGGCTTCTGATACTGACTAGTAAAACTTTGCGAATAATCCAATAAACAGAGGAAGGAATAGTTGGAAAGAACATTGAAGAGAATATGTGATTTTCTTATCTAAGGAGTTCGTGACCACATTTGGCGATTACAATACAATTCAATTTCGACGGTTCATCTCACAGTACAGACGTTTTTGTCCAGTTTTTTGGAATCAATCGATAGCCTGTTCAATAGAGATATTGCACCAGACGTCTAGTAACAAAAGCTGTACTCTGCAGTTAACAATTTAAAGAAGATTCGAGCTTGTTCTTCCGATGCGAAGACCGTTCCTAGTGAAGAGGGTACTTGGGTGCTTTCACACTGGTCACCAAATTGGGTTCCGCACAGTGTACTCCCGTTATTCTCAAAAATAAGTGAAAACAGAAGATATATAGGAAAGTCAAAGCTTGCATGATGTACGTCGTGGAAAAAAAGACACCTGAATGACCTGTTCTCACTGGTTGTGCTAGCCCCAGCATAATCTCCACTTTTCGAAGCTTTGCTGGTTAAGCCGTTGTGTCCTGGAATCCCGAGGTCAGCCTGGCCAAAGTCTGCTTCAGGACGTCACCACCGCAGGCAGTCGCATCCCTTGTGGATCAGAGGGAGATTTGCCACCATGCAACTTTGATACCAGAACGGTGGTGGGTCCTGTATTGGTTTATTATTAGCTGAAGTTTCTGATGGAAATGCCGAACTCCTTCTAAGCTTCGGAGGCCAGCTCGTGGGATGAATCTCCACGCTGTACATCGCAGTTCGACGCCAAGAAACATCTCCCAGCCACGATGAGGCGGTAAACTGTTGGGAGGAAAGGGGCATTAAAGTATACGGAAACGTAAACGATATTTGGAAAAGGAAAGAGGATATGTTCAGAAAAAAACGTAGAATTGAGTGAAAGAACATGCAGCAAAATCTAACTGTGGAGCGAAAAACTCGAAAAGGAAAGCACGCTGATTTATAGAGCACTGTTGCCTAGATGCATTGAAATCAATGCATAACCTTCGCATTACGCCAGCGATCACGACACAAAGTTGAAAGCTGTTTCGAGTGTGTTGAAGTTGTAAACTTTCTAACCAAATCCGAGCCACCTTTGAGTGCTCACAAAAAATTTGAGGAGCAATACTGAACTAGTCAAATAGGGCCTAACTGGGTAATCTAGTTTCATTCAGTGAGTAATCTAAACGCTCAAAAGGAAATGGTCTATTGAAGATGCTGTCATCACTAAGAAGGAACAACATTTTTAATGTAACTATATTCGCGCCAAATTACTCAACAAAATAAACGAAACACTGTAATGAAAGAAAAAGTTTACTTGTTTTCTGAATGAAAGAAATGGATGCCGTACCTCGCCAAAAGTCCCAACATCTTCGTCAGTAGCCGAGACTACTAGAAGCGGTCCGGCAGGACGGTATCCTTCGCGGACGGTGATATTGTACCTGATAGCACTGAAGACAGGCACGTTATCGTTAGCGTCCTGCACTTGAATACTGACCAGACATGCCCCAGTTAGGCCATCTGAAGATTTCATGTCAAAAAATGGTCGTTCAATAAGCGAAATGTTTTCACACATGACAACCACATAGAGGAAAAATGCTATAACTAAATAAAACCCAGGCTACTGACTCGAAGGCAGACTAGTGTCCAAAAATATTGATCCAACATTGCCATTAATAAAGTGTTTTGGACTACTATCTAAACGTGCAGTGTGCCAAATTCCCCAGCTGTTTCAGGAAAAAGTAGTTCATTCTGTGTTAACAACGTTATATACCCTTATTTACTTTACATGACCCGTTATCACATCTCTTCCCAACGGTTAACCGTCTCATCGTGGCTGGGACGTGCAGCAGGTGATCGTTGAAAACTTCATATCGCCCTTCATAGAATTGGCAGTGTAGCTCCTAACTTCTACTTTTTCACAAGCCTTAACCGATCTGCCCTTTTCTTGCTACACATGTTAAAATAAAAGTATAAGAAGAGGAAATCTCTCGAAATACTGAACGGCGAGGTTAAGCTCGTTAGGAAGCGCATCTGGTGTCCTAAAAATAATGTCTAGCACGTCTGCTGCTTTCGAAACATCGTCTGCATTGTTCAGAGATTATTCTCCCTAGGGCTTAAAAGCTAGACGGCAAAAAACTATCATGTCCAAAAAATAACTCCAGAAATTTTATCTCATCGATTGATGGAGAGGGTAGAACGCAACCTATGAGGCTCATACGTATCTTCTTTCATTTCTGTACAGCAAATTCATTATCCATTACAACGTTAGAATGGAAAGATAAAGTGGGATTGTGTCTCCGTAGCGGACACTGCCTAGAATTCGCAGAATTTTCGGAAAATCCTGTCAGCTTAACTACTTCGCTCCATCCACTCCATGATTAGCAATAGGCAAATCTTCATAAAGAGTTTGTAAAAAAATCCTCAACACAGTGGATAGTAACTGTGAAAGTTTTGAGTTTGTGACTCTAGAGTTTTGCGCGCTTGTGTTCTCGATTCTTGCGCAAGGATCGTAGCCCTTACTTCAAAATCTTCTCCGTTGTGTCTCTGCGTCCTATGCGTACCTAGTGGAGTATTTCGTTTACGTTTGCCGACTAGGTTTCTATTATACGCATTCAGAGTGGTTTACCCGTTCCTCCAACGTATTCGTCCCCGCGCGCTTTACAAGAGATCACATAGACTGCACCCGAACTCATGCAGTCACCGTCTCTACCACTGGGGCAAGTTTTCCAATTCTGCCTTGCACATAGACGCTCGTATAGGCAGCTACGAACTAGCTGGCGTCTTCGAATACGTTGGTGAAACGGGTAGACCACTCTGCTTACGTATAAAAGAACACCTAGACGACAATCGTAAACCAAGTACTCCACTAGGCACGCATGGGACGCAGAGACGTAACGGAGAAGATTCTGAAGTAGGGGTTACGATCCTCGCTCAAGAATCGAAAACACAAGCGCGCAAAACTGTAGAGGCATTCTGGATTAATCCCAAGAATCCGAAAATGAGCCGCAGGGAAGAATGCCTCATTATCACGCGTGATATTGGGCACTATATAAGCCTGTTATTTTGATGAGATAGGCACAATACGATTCTGTGTGAACTCTGTGCTATTGGTCTCCACGTGACATATTTAGTGGAAGACTCACAGAAAGCGGTGGGTGTGCAAAGGCCCTGTGCTCAAAGTGATTGAAATTTAGGTATAGCATTTTCTCTGTTTAGTTATGGAGGTGTTTGGCGGTGTAGAGTGCAGTCAACATGACCTTTCTAGGCTCTGAGGAAGGCGAAATCCGCCGAAATGTCAGCTTGCACGCAAATAAAGAAATAGAATAACACCTCGTGTTTGCTGAACAGAAGTAGGAAGAACTATTCAATCAATGCCGAGGTTAATAGAAAGTCGGACGTGGGAGTTACTTCAAACTTTTGATGTTTCTCACACCTGCTTGGGAGCTATAAAAACCATTAGTCCCTTAGGAAACATCAGGCTGGATGAGATCTTGCTTGCTCATTTTCATTTATGTTCGAAATAAAAGGAGACGAAAAAAGGTGAGAAAACTGTGATCCCTAGTTTTTGTGAAAACACAGCTTTATGTGGGTGGAAAAAATCTAATTTGTAGGAACCTGTGAATCACAGCGCGTTTCATTTTAATCAGTCAAATTACAGACGCCGGTGGCGTAGTGCTGTGCTGTCGTCGAATACGCGCAACACTCTGGTTCAACTTCACACTATCCCAAACAAGCACGCCTTCCTATCAGGTTCGAAAAACTGGTACCAAATGTATGGGACTAGAATGCTCCATTTAGCACACAAATGCTGATAATGAAGAACTGGGAGCGCCCTAGAACGACAATTCCATGGCTCCAGGAACGATCGAAACGAACATCAATCAGCGACATTCTCGAATGAGTAGCTACCAAATTCACCCAATATCCATAGATCGTCGTAGATGATGGATGAGAGGAATCGAATGAATGAAAGGCTAATACCGACAGTGTATGTGAGGTTGGATCGTAAAATAACAAAACAAAAAGTAAAATAAGCTTTGTAGCGAACTGAAATAAACCGGTTTAAATTTGAAAGCTACTACTATTCTAGCAATTCATGAATGGAAATCAATTCACATGGAACTCTAAATGTTAACAGCGATTACTAAGTTGCCATTGAATTTGACGACTTTCGTAAAATCTCACTTTGATCGATGGCGGTTATAGTGAGTTGATGGTTGTGATCTTTCTCGAAATCGAGTTTCCTCTCCAAACAGATTGTGCCAGTTGACGATTCGATGTTGAAGAGCTGAAGAGCAAAGAGCTTTCGTCGACTTGATGCTGTGGAAGTCAGTGATAAAACTGATGGGTTTTGTTACAGATAGGTTCATCTGTATTTCCGCCACTTTCCATATTTATATGGATACTCATCCTCTTTTTCTTATCCATAGATTTTAGGAGAAATTGACCCGTATGCTCGAAGGCAGTTATTTGTAGCTGATATTCTCTTCGTTTATCTAATGACATTGTTTTCAGTGAAACTATTTTCTCCGTAGAAGACGGAGGTTTACAAGTTACAGTAAGAATCATAAGATGAATACTCGACAATGAGCAGCTTCATTTTTTAAAATGTGCAGGCTAGTAATCAGATTAATCGTTAACTAACTCGTACAGAATCCGATCCATCTTCAATTACATAACGGAGTCGGCTCGAATCGCCGCACAAGCTGTTCGACGCTTTCACCTACAACGAAACACCTGTGTTGGTGTGTTACTTTAACTTTACAGATTTCTCCATACACTTTAGAACATTGTAGTTGGAACATTATTCTAAGGTCGTACGCACATCGATAACTAATTTCTCGTTTTCCGTTTGCAAACGTTTTTGTCGTCATCAAAATCACCGGCTTTGATTAGTGGGAAGAAATGGTTGTCATAGAAACATGAAAGGAGCTCCCATAGTGTGAAAGCTGCAATACGGCAGCAAACAACTTCCGCTCATTCAGCTGTTTAGATTCGCTATTCAGTGACTGTTCAAATCCTTCACAATCGTGGGCGCTTCTGGATCCGATCTAGGATTCAGCTAACGCCAAACTGACATGGCATAAGCTATGTACAGCCTGAGTTCATCACTTATTTTCAATGGAAAATCAATTCGATAGGCTTCCCGTGAACACTAACCTAAGATGTTCGCAAACATGAGCACTTAACGTCACTTAGTTGTAAAAAAATTCCATTTTTGAATCCAAAAAACTCAAATCTCGTACTTTTGATTAGCTCTGTTTAATGTTCAATTCAGGTCACTACAAATGAACTTGAAGTGCTTTCCGCTACTCTACGTAAATATGGCCGGCGAGATGATCTATATTCTGGAGCAGAGACTCAAGGTGAGACCATTAAACTCTGAAAGGCCTCGGAAATAAGCACAATAGAGAATTCCGGATATTAACACCTAGTGGTAGAAAAAATTAGCTAGCGTTTTCTGAAGAGATTTTCTAGGGCTTGAAAGAACAGTAAATAGGAATAGGATTAATCCAGTGGACCATCGAAATGTCCAACTGGCACAGGCGAATACAGAAGAGATTTATCATAAGTACTTTGCTATAATGTCTTTAATATAGACTTATAAGACGTTTTATTCACTCGAACACTTTAGGATTTTTAAGATGGGCAAAGATTATTAGTGTTTTCCAAGGATGCCGTATATCTACTGTTGTTTACCTGCATATGTTTACCCACAAACCTGTGAGCGGTCTACGGATCATTTTCATACGAAGGTAATTCTACTGGCCGAGTTAGGTGGCGTGTCATAGTTACCTGATAGGTGAGGTATACACAAATCAAAGGCGACAATGTGTGAGCTGCTCACTAAATCTCCAGCTTTACATCATTAAAGATCCGAGGGCTTATGGCTAACAATTTTTCATTAATGAATGCCGTTCGCATTCCTTCAAAGCTTATATTTCGCTGTACTATTGCTGTTGCTTTCACAAAGAATAAAAAAAAGCTATCGTCGTTGACCAATCCTTGAGGGATGCGCCATGCATTCGACTTCATTAAGCAACGTTGGAAGAGATTAAATACATATCTGGCCTTTACAACAATGACTTGTTGTGGTCGACGTTGCTGCTATCCCCTCAAACAAGTCTGGTACCAATTTGCCAACCCATGAGGAATAAAAGGCTTGGTGGGCCATGGACGCGGGAATCGATTCCACATGCGTGTTGCAGCGCGCCTCTGACCACTGCGCTACGCGCGCGCTTGTTGCTTTCATACTTGATACTTGATACTTGAACTGCCTGTCATCAGTAGTTGTGCGGGTCCTAGCACAATCACCTTTCGGAGATTTGCTGGTTGAACCATTGTGGTTCCCTGGAATCCCGAGAACAATCTGGCCAAAGTCTGCCCTAGGTCGTCACCACGACAGGCAGTCGCAGCCCTTGTGGACCAGAAGGAGATCTGTCACCATGCGACTTTGATACCAAGACGGTGGTGGATCCTGGTATTGGTTTACTCTTAGCTAGGCTTTCTGATGGAAACGTCAGACTCTTTCTCAGCATGGGAGACGCTGCCGGGGGAACGAATCACCGTGCTGCATATCGCAGTCCGACACCCAGGATCACCTCCCAGCCACGATGAGGCGGTAAACCGTTGGGGGTGGGTTGCTTTCATACGAGTCTGAATTTAATCTGATCCTTTCCTCACCCACTCCCTAAAAGATAGCTAAAAGCAGAATAAGCAATTCTTTGTACAGATCTAGACTCAAGAGTAATGTTGAGGAAATCGCCTGCAAAGTTCGATTTGCTAGGAGCGTCAACGGCGATCTGCTGTCGTCATCGAAGTGACACATTTGAAAAGGTTTTTTTCAGCAGATTCAAGATCTCGAATGCTTGCGAAAGAATCATGAGCAACGCATAAATTCCGGTACCCGAAACAGAAGTGGAAAATCAAGAACTCTGAATAATTTTGCAACATGGATTGAACGGAAACAGAATAGGACGAGCTTAATGAATCTGTTCTGAGCTTCTTTTGCGGAAGCAACGAAATCGAAGTTTATTGATGGAACAATGAATCACACGAAAATAGGACTCTACAAGGACATTGAGGACGTCCTTCATTGCAGTTGGACAAAAACGACTTATTAAAACACTTTCTGAAGTAGCCATATTACTGTCAAAGTTAAGTCGAAGGTTCTACTTGCATAGTGCCGTCTACTACAACTTCTTAAATTAAGGCTTAGTCATTAAATAAGTTAAATCTTTCCGAAAATCGTCTGAATATGCTATGAACAGTAGTTTACTAAACCGGCATTGACCAGTCGATAAGGAGCAATGCTGTAGCGCAACAATGAGGATCCATGAGCTTCTCCGACCATGCCCATCTCATTTATCATTATGAGTTCACTACTTATTTCTTCAGCCATATGATTCCTTTGTAAAAAAAAACATCAACAAATTAAAAGTTAGTGAAAAATGCCTTCTATGACTTTAAAGGCTTCACTGATCAAAATTTTATGTGGATAGAACACTTTACATTGCGATACCTTGAAGGGAGTATGTTGACTGTGGAAATTTTCAGCACACTGGTTCCTAGACTTAAGTTGACTAAAGGGATGAGTTCATTGTCTCCCTTGTACGGGGATGATTCATGCTTTTCATAGAGGATAGCCATATTCATGGTGAGAAGGAGTATGCTTGCGTGTGCTCGGATTCTATGCACCGAATCCATTCGGCTTAATGCCTAGAATCACGCAAATGTGATGCATTTGAAATAAAGCGCCTTAGTATCGCCTCGTACAAATGAGATCAACATCGAATACTGGAGGACACGAAAATGTACACCATGGTATCGTAAAACTGAGGTGAATGATGTGTTCTAGCTTACATTAGTGTTAAAGGCAGTGAGAACAGAGGGCGTCATATTAAAAGTTTGGCACCCTTATGGTACCTTCAGTGAACTGACTCGATTTTATATTTCTGGCACTTGACAGTAAAGTATGGAAACTGCTGTTTCTCGTTCGAGTCCCCTGATGCATTGCGACGTTACAGTCACAGACTGACTGACGGACTGATTTGGCTTAGAACTTAAACATTCCTTTTTCCTACTTTTCCTACTTCAGAATAAATATCTGATTCGCGCGACGTTTTACGAATTCTAGAGTCAGAAGGATATTTCGGAGAAAAAAAGCAACATTGTACTTCACGACATCATCAGTCATACCCTCAAACACAAGTATCTTCTTGAGATTTTTAAGTGAGTGGAATCCATCTTGCCAAATAACCTTAGGACAACCTCACTTCATTTCCAGACCTCAACAAATGCTCTCACGCCGACAAATGCAGGTATTATTCGAGCGACTTGCACATTCTAGCATTATGCGACTGAGTGAAAACAGGTTTCCTTTCTTTTCCTTAACAAGACACCTACATTTTTATAAAATAAGAGATCATAACTGATAGATCGATGAGAGTATACGAAACATCTGAGTGGTACACACCAGGACCATGTATCCTAACTTCTCCTATTCCTTCTAGTTGAGGTCATGAACGCACATTTCAAGTGTCGAGTTCTTATCATTCAAAGCAATTAGCCACTTAACGATAATAGCCATTAGACGTGGCAATAAGACTTCTAAGCTCCGATGAAGTCTATAGGGGCTTTCAAGCGAACATTTTCAACATGAATCATAAATGCATACGCTGCTATACTTGCACAATCGAGCTCTTTTTGAGAGGTAGTGGCTCAAAGCTACCATAATATCACTACTCGGTAGTCTCAACCGAATCACTTGGAATCGTTAGGGAGTTCATTTCCAACCATTCATATCCAACAGCTACCCAATTCTCTATTCTGCATCAACATCGCCAATTTCAGTATGGAAAAACTGTTCGATCTGACACTAATGATCACAAAATATCAAGTCCTATCTGTGATTACGCCTGAACAGGTAAGCTTGGCTATCTGGACTACTTGGTTGTAATAGAGCTGGAGACTACCACGTTTCTACAACATTTGAAAGGTTCAGATATTAACTGTCACTATGAATCATCTGAGTGGGATGAAACGGATCGCGAAGCAAGAGAACAACATCCATGAGCTTATCCGAGACGCTCATGCAATGGTCGGTTGAGAGTTCTTATTGAAATTCTTCCTCTCATCAGGATCATTATCATCGTTCCTCTTATCGATCGTTTTTCTTTTCCTCACTATTGCTTGCGCTATTCATGATTACTTCTCTAGTTCTAGACAAATAGCTGAAAGCTTCAGGATCTGCTTTTCCTCACCTAATTGGCTTGGTCTTGATCCTGGTTGGCAATGAGCTAGCTAATTGTTACAGCGGCCAACATTAGCTGGTCTATTGCCAGCCGGCCTCTCGACATGTTCTGCTCTTCTCCATCGAAATGTCCTTAGTGATTACTTTCTCTTTCTTCGTTCATGTTTCTTCTTCCTGACTTCCTATCGCCAACAATACCTTTTTTCAAGAAACTTTTGATGATGATGTCCTCCATCCTTGTACAATAATCCTTACCAGAATGTCAATGCTTTTCCTCTTACCTATCTTTTCATGGTAAATAGAAGCAGCACGCTGCATTCTTGGTAGTAAAGAGACTTTAATCAGAAATAAAGGAAAAAGAATAAAGCTCTCGGCGTTGATCATTCCTTGAGGGATGCGCCATGCATTTGACTTCATTAAGCATCGTTTGGAGACGATTGGATGCATATCTGGCCCTTATAATGACCCGCGGTGGCCTACCGATGTATCCAGCCAGCACTGCTATTCTTCCAGACGAGTCTGGTACCAATTTGCCGACCACGGAGGGATGGAAGGCTTGGTGAGCCATGGACGCGGAGATCGAGTCTACGTGTGTGTGGCAGTGGCGCCTCCAACCACTGCGTCACACGCGCCTTCAGAATCAGAAATACTATTACAAAATCCCAGTCTGACTAGTCCAATGCAAGAACTGTCTACGGGAAAAGTAATTTTATAAGACGTCCTATCAGCTTGAGAGAAATTTTCCTTCGAATCTGAAATCCCTTTAGAGTTATCCAATATACTGCTAACTATTAAGGTGAATAGATAGTCGATCTTGGGAACTGTAAACATATATACTTGTAAGTTAGTATTACAAAACTTAACATTGATGTTGTCTTTACACATTCCTTTCTTTCTTCAGTTTCTAATGCTCTATGGGCCAGTACCGATAACTGAATGGAGTATGATACGGTATCAAATGCTCAACTTCTTTCAGGTTAGTGCTTCTTCTCTGTCCAAAAAAAAGATTGCCTATATTTTGAAGTAGGTCTGTAATCTAGAAAAAGAGTCAGCATAAATGAGATAAATACATTGCGCTAAAGATACTGCTAGGCTTTAGTAAAACGTTCCATATGTATTACTACGTAGGAGTGCAGGCAAGCAGAACGAAGTGCTTTGTTTGGAATGCATTTCGTTTTCAGTGCCTTGTTTTGATGTGTAGAGCTATTTTACCGTACTTGATGTTAGTGAATAACTTGTCCAGCACAGGTACTATGAAATTTAGGACAGCTTCACAAGAATAGCTTTCTTGAACGAGGTAATTGATACCTTGACCGTTAATTTACTGTTATTTCATTTAAATTGCTAGGATGGTTTATAGTTGTCGGATAAAATGTCAAGTTATGAAAAGCACCGGAATAGACAGGGACGCAATAGCGCTCAGCAAATAGTAACACATACGTCCTGCATACCGTTAGAGCGTTAAATCAAAATGGCTTCACAAATTCATTGACGTTTTCAACCTCTCAAGTGCTCTGGTTACCGTCTATTGACTGAAGAAAGAGCAAAACCGTGAGCGACATGAAATTAGGTGTGAAACTACGCGATAGGTAAGCAGATATGAGCGTTAAGTGTTCTCTGTTTAGGACTGCCATGTGAGAGTTTCGATTCTTATTAGAGACGAAAAACAGCTTTCGGACGGCCACTTTGTCTATTTACCGACCAAGTGAGTAATTTTGTCATTACCTAGAATGTGCAGTCCCTTTGGATATAGTGGTGAGGAGGTCAAACCGGCAGCACAGAAAGTGATGCATGCGGAGACTGGGAGAACTTCTTCCAACAAAGTGTTCAGTGGAGCGTGATATAATGGTGTAACGGGTTTTACTTGACAGTTAGACTATGGCAACTGGACAGAACTAGTGGTGATGTTATTCATCTAACTTTTAAATACTACGCATTTGGTACTTTCTGTCATGGTACCAGTACCAGTGGTTAAAGGTGCTATGCAATACACACGTGATCATCTGTTCGATCGCGCTCTAAGGAAATCAAACCTCCTACCCATCTGGGGTCAGAAAGTTCGCACTAGAGTTGTCTGGGAAAGTAAACAAAGACTTTAGAAATCTTTAAGCCCACGTAAGTCACTTTATACATCAAATATGCATTCAGTTACCTCTAAGTTGCTCAATATAATCAAATGTACACTCATCAATTAGAGATTAATCAACGCCGACCACTTTCTCCTTCACGCTTTAACTCATAGGTGGTTAAATGACTCAATCGACCTAAAGTAAAGGCACCATTTTTTCCTGTCCTGTTGAAGACTAGTCCGAATGGTCTAATTTGTTTCAGGAACCAGAAGAAGGTTATAATTTCCTTCTAAGATAAATGTGAAAAAAAAATCGTTTCAGCGGAAATACGAGCACAGAGCAGAAAAGCGTACTCCCATGAAATTTAGCGCTAAAGATACTGTTTCCTCCCAACGGTCTCATCGTGGCTAGGAGGTGTTCCTGGGAGTCGGGCTGTGATGTACAGTGGGAGATTCATCCCCTGGCAGGGCCTCCCAATCTGAGAAAGGGTTCGGCGTTTCCATCAGGAAGCCGAGCTAGGAATAAACCAATGCCAGGATCCATTAAGATCCTGGTATCAAACTAGTCGCGTGGTGGCAAATCTCATTCTGATCCACAAGGGCTGCAACTTCTTGTGGTGGTGACGACCTAGGGTTAGAGTTTCGCCATGGTGACCTCGGAATTCCAGGGAATCACGATGGCTTAACCAAGAAATCTCCGAAAAATGGAGGCTATGATGAGGCTCACACAACCAGTGAGGATGGGCCATTTAAGTGTCAAGAATCAAGTAAAATTACTATTCTGTCAACAGCTGTACCAGAAGTTCTCTTCTCCGTATCCACCAATGTAATGCAAATCTGCTTGTTTTTTCCATATCATGGAGATTCAGAGACCCGGTTGCACTTCCACCAGATGTGCAAACACCAGGATTAACGAAGTACTACGAGAACGGCGAGTTTGTAAAATCCACTCAGTGGCCGGTGATTAGGAACTACGTTCCTCTTCAGAATCCGGTACGCTTGCCTCATCTACTCATTGCCGTTGATAACAGCACGTAATTCTTTGATAAGGACATATTACGTTATTATTAATTAACTGTGTATATTGCACTAATGGTTCTTCATCGTTTCAATAGTTAAAAACAATAATACTAACAGGCTCTTTTACATACATTTGTATATATTATTATTAATCACTAGACAGTCGAAAAGAAGAAATTGTCGGTTTCTATTAGAACGTGCGAATAAGTCTGTCAATAGCTATAGAGAACTAGCTGAGAAATAGGCGAAAGGAAAGACCCACATGATGTATCAAGTAGACTATATAGAATAGAATAACATGAAGGAGATAGTTTTTCGTTCTACTTTTGTATGAAAATAAAGGAAGACTTTAAAAATTTTCCACCAGACTAATATCTCTCTCTCTCCCCTTCTACCTCTCTTTCCCTCCCTCTTTCTTTGTAATAAAGGAGGAATAATCCCATACTATTGTTTATCAACTGAAGCAAATGCTCATCGGAATCCCGGTTTCAGCGCCAAAAATTTTTTAAATATTTAAAACAAGCTTCTAAACCAAAAAATCGTGAAAGTGGACCTCCCATCTAATTCTATACCAGACCGTGCACTCTCAAAACTTTGCAAACAGTTTCATTTCCTTCACAGTAATCAAATCATTCAAATCGTTTATTGTCGTAACTGTGCGGAAGTGGTCCTTGTCATCCACAGACTTCTATGTAGTGAAGAACGAAAAAGAAACCGGATTTCAAAGACCCGCAAAAATAAAAAGAATTTAGCCAAAATTAAGACTGGGAATAAAGGTTGTAATAGTTTTCGCCGATATTTGGGCTTTTCGGAGAAAGTGGATGTATTCTGACGATGTGATTTTTTTCTAGGAAGATCGCAGTCTAGACGCAAAAGTTCGTTCAACGACGCTTGGCACGAGCATTTTTGTCGCAGAAAAGAGTGTGAACGTAAGTTTTCATCCGATACTTTTAGTACGCGCCACTCTAAGGTAGAGCCCACAATAGAAAACTGACCAGACTCATCTAAATACGCTCTGGAACTTGAGTAATAGAGATGAGCAACGACGGCTCAACATAAAAACAGAACGACGAAAACATCTCGCGTTTTTCTCCTTTTTCTCTTATCCATATGAAGGCCTTTACTAATCTCGTGCTAACTTACCACTGAAAGAATACGTATTGGCTAGTTATGCCGAAGTTAAAGGAAAGTCAGTTTTTGAAAAACTGCTTTTGTGTTCTTCACTCCATTGAAATCACAAGTTCACAGCGTTCGTGAAGAAGAAAGCAGCAAATTTAGGAGCTGCTTTGCCTCTCCACAGAGCATTTCATAGTATTCATCAAGTTCTCCAATGGAATGTGATGGTGGAAAAGATGAAGAGAATAAGATAGAAAGGTTCCATTTATAACGGATGCGTACATTTTAGCGCTGAATAAATTGAGAGGAAAGATTACTGAAAGACCTCTGAGCTACCACTAAATGGATTCATTCTGGTTTTATGTTGCACTACTACCAATTTTACTAAGTTTCTAAAATAACGTAGTCGAAAAAATTAGCATTAAACTCGTTTTCTCTGCTTATTTGGTTATTTACATGACCCGTCCTCACATATTGCGCGAATCCCAGGACTATCATTCGGCTCATTGTCTCCTATCTCTCATCCATGAGGGTCATCGGATTGGCGTGTCATCCCAGCTGCTACTTCGGGATTTACCTCTTTCACGAATGTCGTCGTACGCCGATCGAGATGATCTATTATGGAAGCCGGGGTAGCTTTACAAGTGCGTACTCAGGCCTGGCTTCATTACATCCACTTTTATACATTTTGAGTCGAAGGAAGTACTTATCAAAAAGCTGGATATCAGTTTTTCGACTTAGAACAATCGAGAGAAATCCTGGCTGTTTCTTCTTTTTATAATGAGAATCTGTGACTACGCGTGTACTAGACGATATCTTCAATAACTGCTCTTCTCGTGCTCTGATTAGACATTGATCCACTTTTTCCTATGTTTTTAAAGAATAGTAATGAATGCCGAGGGTCCTCTTACAATGGAAGTTATTCTGCCGTAATTGCACTCCATTCAAGTAAATGGCCGGGGCTGACCACAAGAAGTAAAGAACTCGTACAGTGGCCTAGTGAAAGTTCTTGTCGCTATGACAACGATATCGGCGAGGGAAATCACACTTCATCCAACTACGTGAGCTCACACATACACGAACTCTTGGCTTATTATCATCCGGGGATCGCCGTCGATGTTGCTTCTGCTGATAGCATCAGGTAATTGAATTTGTTAGGAGAATTTGTAAAAGAAAACAGAACATCTGCAACGTAGACCTTGTGAAGATTAGAAAACCATGTCTATAGTTCATCCATGGAAAATGAAAACTTGGTTTTTTTTATTCCAGAACTAATTCAAGACAAAATAGATGCTAAATATGCCTAAAAAGGAACATAAGGTTAGATTTATGTGCTTTCTAGACCCCGAAAACTTGCGACTGTGAGATGGGAATGCCAGTCTTTTAATTTTCGCAGAAAAGCTACACTTTGAAAGGTACTGGCTCTCTCAAAAATGATGGCAAACATAGGCCCCCTGAGATGTGTTTAAACCAGTTAGCGTGAGTGCGAATTTCGCACTGAGCCCATTAGTGCAGCCAGAGTCGGGCTTTCCTGGGAAACTCCTACCAAAGAGGTGCTCGCAAACTATACTGATGTTGTAGGTAACATGTACTGTCTAACGGGTTCGAGTTCGATTCAATATCTTCTACACAAAATTTAAGTGTTTTCTCAATTCTCTATGTTCTCTTAAAGCTTTGAGAAGTAAATTTACGATATGCTTGCTTAAAAGATTATCGTATAGAGCTATGAATTTTACATACAAAACAACACTTTTGGAGTGAAATATTTTATATGATGGGGTGCGTAGCAAAGTGGTATTGATGCCCATCATCACGGAAACAGTGCTGGTTCGATCCGGTTCCAGGCTCACCGAATCTGTTATCCATCCACGGTCGGAAAGTTACCGTACTCGTCAGGGAAAAATTTACTCTCTGCAATCCAAGTGGGAACGATTTAGCCAGGCTATTTCAGCACTCTAGGGAGAATCGGCTAGAGCGGCATTCTACGACATTCAAGATGAAAATCCTCAAGCAGCAACAGATGCCACACGTAAAAGTGACCTTAATGGATGATGGACGCGAGGAAATGAATCAAATGCGAGAAATGCTGGGATCCGCGCAACAGATGTGAAAAACGGGTCGTGTAAAGCAAATGCTTTATATGTAATGTGACTTCGTTTGAATGATTCAAAATAAGTTCAAGGAATCCAGATGAATATTATTTCCAATGGAAGTCCTTTCCCTAAATTTTTTTAAACATAGAAGCCACTTAATTTATTCATTATTATCCGTGTTTGTTTCACTTTAAAGCGTTTAAAAAACTAAGGCTTTTATTGCAGATATATTAAAGCAAATCGTATAACTTTTTCCTCTTCCTAGTGTAACGATCACAAGTGTCACTGGAACAGATTCTTCGTCCTACCGTGTATGTTAAGCAACAGCAAGACACTAAACCCGTCGTTCTTTAGGAACCTTAAGAATGAATGTCTTCATGAGCTGACAGCTTCAAGCAATCTATCCTCGTTGAATTCATAACTAAGGTGGTGTTTTCAGATCAACGGTGGTGGTGGTGTTGTGAAAGCTGAATCGGTACAATACGGAGATGAGATGAAGCTGCTTCAGTCATTGCTTGGTGAAACCCTTAAAACCGGTAGGTCTGAGCAGACTCTTAATACTCTCGAAGTTCTCACGAAAATCTTTCAAGCACAAGCCTAGAAAGTGCTTGCTCGAAAACTTTAGTGATAAATTCAAGAAGATTAGTAGCACGGTTTTATCATAGTTGCCTAGCAACATGCACTGCAAATCTGGTTAGCAAATATGAACTTGAAAATAACTTCGACGACTGGGATAAGACAAGAAGCAGCTTCTAGTGCTAATATGCATTCGTTTTAAATTTAGTCAAGACAACTCCTTAATTGCAAAAATTTAACTATCCTTTACGGAAAACTGCAAGAGATGTTACTATATCATAACATAAAGAGTTGGGTAGCAAAGAGGTAGTGGTGCGGATCATTAATTGCACGGTTCTGGTTCGATCTTTCACCAAGCTACTTAAGCTTATCATCCTTCTAGCGTCGAAAAATTGGTACTAGACTTTTCCGGGAACGCCGTTCTGCAATCCCAATGGAAACACCCTAGCAGGCCATCCAAGCACCCCAGAGGAATCGATTCGATCAACATTCAACTGCATTCATGAATCATGAATAAGACGACGACCTTCGACCAGCACACGAATCCACACGCGAAAAGTTCGAAGGCCTTCGTGGATGATGGATGCGAAGGAACGAACTGAATGCAACAGTACAAGGATGAACAACAGTATGAAAAAAATTGGTGACAGTTTTTTGAAGGGACCACATCTCTAACCTTTTAAAAATTCAGCGCTGAGTTGAACATTCGCTTAAATACCGGCTTTTTCCTTACTTTAATAAAACTGCTAGCGGTGATAGAAAGATTAAAATTATTGTACCATATGATGATATGCCCCTTCAATTGTTTAACGCTTCATCGTCGTTGGAGTGATATGGCGCAGTTCATCCGGACGGGAGAGTAACCTTATAAGTGATAAGTCCTTCTTCATATGAATAATACTCGAATTCGGGTTACGACGAAGTCGAGAGGCACCAAGCCACTCTTCGACCACGGCCTTCAACTGGTTGAGTTGAGATTGTTCTAAGAAGGTTATTTTGTGATTCCAAAGATAAATATGGTTACCCATCAACAAAAGCATCAATGAGTGAAGAAAATAACAGGGCGTCCAGTTGCAGCCAAACGTACATGTACCTGCCAATGAAATCGATAACGCTTAGAAGACAATGAAGCAAACAAACATTGAACTAATAAAATTCTGATATAAATTCAGTCAATGTGTAGAACAGGTGAACACTAGTGACTACCAATAATAACCCATCTCTTCATGCTCAGTGAATTGAAGTCGAGTTTTATTGGCTAGGGCAAAAAAAATTCCAGACAGCGAGCTTGATTTGAATATGTTCGACTCGACAGTCGAGGAAAAGACGTATGTGAAGGAAACTGAAGCGCTTCTTAAGAATGTTCTGAAGATCGATGCTTCCAAAGACAAAAAGTCGATATCGGCTACTATGTCGGAGGTGGGGTGATTCTCGTTATTGACTAATATTTCAGACTATTCAGAGTAATTTGCCATTTAATCATCCTATTTTTTTTGCATACTCCCCTGCTTACCATTGGGTAAACTATACCTCAGCTGTTTAGTTCAGACAGAAACTTTGCAACATGAAATTGACGGTTTCTCGTTAAAGATCTCGTTCCATGGGGCAATGATGGCACCAATGAATTTATTCAGTGAAGACCATGGTCCCAGTGGGAGTTTCTCATGAGAAATAATCTCTATCGAGCATTTGGCGGAAGTCGACTAGTCGTATGTGCAACACTTTTTATGGAAATTTAATCCAACTGAGTCGGACGGAAAAAGAAGGATTTCAGTTAGGACAGAACTAACTAGAACAGCTAGTAAAAAAAAGACTTGCCGATTAGAACTGCCGGTCTGAGTACAGGCTATAATATCTCATAGAGTTCACTAGCATTAGATGATTATTATGTTCTGTTTATTAAGCCACATCCATTTTACTATCATTATATGATTTCGATTGTGATTTCGACTTCAGCTTCAGCTTGACTAGGTTCGTTGCCGATTTTGTCTCCCTAGATCAGCCCCGTTGAAGGGTGATTGCTGGTGGCGCAAATCAATAGAACTAGCTGAAAGACAGGCGAAACGAAGGACCCGCATGGTGTGGTGGTGAACGCGTTACTCCCCGGAAAGGACAACAGTGCATTCGTTCTCCACCGCAGACACCTGCGGTTCGGAGTTTTGCAAATATCTCAGCGCCATCCTAATCGTATATCATCATATGTTTCCAAGTGGCCAAAAGGCGCCCAAAGAGACAAAGCTGAGATCGAAATCAACAGTAGCAAGATCACGGTGGTCTTCGTGGCTACTTTTAAAAAGGGATATAAAGCTAAGGATAAAAAGCCAAGAAAAGGGATATGATGGATCAAACTCAACGGACTTGACATGAATGTAGATCTTATCAAAAACACGAATTAATAAATGTTTTAAAAACATATATGATGTTTTAAGTGGAGTGGAAATAGTCAAACTAGAGCTTAACTGTGAAAAACAAGCTTTCAACTGGAACAGTAATGTTTAACGTTTTGTTTTCTGCCTTCTATAATTTTCATGGCAGGTTACTAAGCGAAATACAACCACAACGTTGCTGAGATATTTGCAAAACTCTGGACCGCAGGTGTCTATGGTGGGGAACGAACGCGCTATTATCCTTTCCGGGGAGTAACGCGTTCACCACCACACCATGCGGGTCCTTTGTTTCGCACGTCTCTCAGCTATTTCTATCGATCTTTTTGCCACAGCAATCGCCCGTCAGCGGGGTTGATCTGGGGAGCGCAAAT